AGGGCTGGTGGCGGACACATTCTCAGTCGGGCGCGCGGGTGATGGTGTGGGCATCGGTGTTGGTGTGGGCGTTTTAATAGTTCGAACTGCTTTGACTAGTTCCTCCGTCAAAGTGGTGAGACGGGACAGCTGATGATGATGAACTTCGAGCTGTTTCGCTTGGGCTGTGTAGGCGGCAGACAAGGAAGACATAGCTGCTGGATCTGGTTGTGGCGAAGTTTTCTGTTGCGGGTTTTCAGAATCAGAATCAGAGAGATCCATGTGCAGCTTTTTAGTGTTTTATTTATAATGCTGAGAAGGTAAAGCAAGGGATCAGAAGACCAGAACGGGGTTCGATAGAACAGGCAAGGGTCAGTACAGGCAGCGAGCAAACGGGGTCTTGGTATACTGGCAGAAGGTCGAGGCAGGCAGCGGGCAGATCAGTATCGGTTATCCAGGCAATGGTCGAAGTAGGCAGGCAGCAAACTGGAGGAGTCTAGGAACAGAGACAAGCTCAAACAGGTAGACAATTTCACAGGAGGTAAACGCTCAGAATTGATCACAATGGTAATGCAAAACTTTGCAAGGAACGAAGTGAGAGAGATGGCTATAAAGCCCACGAGATGGGGAACAGCTGGAGGAGGTGATTAGAGTCAGAGCGGCTGTGAGAGATGAATGTAATGAAGGGAGTTAATATTCGGGCGAGGGCGCCCTCTGGTGACTAGAGAGGGAACTTCCAGAGTCTGGAATTGTGACAACAAGGATGTGTTAGTTCTCCTTTGCTCTTCACACTCTATACCAACGACTGTGTTACCTTTGCGCCCAACCATCATATCATAAAATTTTCTGATGATACTGCACTGATAGCTTTGATGAAGGAGGGGGAATCGGCCGGTCTCTATGTGGAAACGGTGAATAATCTGGTAAAGGGCTGTGATCTAAATGCCCTCATCCTCAATACACAGAAAACTGAGGAGGTTATCTTCGGCACCTCTCATGGGTGCCACATTACAGCAATAATCATTCATAATCAAATCATAATCATCTTGGAGTGCACGTGGATAGTGACCTTTCCTGGAACTATCATGTAGACTATATCTGCAGCAAAGTACAGCAGAGAATCTACTTTTTAAGGAGACTCCGGTCATTCGGAACGAGTTGTGAAATCCTGTCCACTCTTTTTTTTTCTATTCTCATGCCTCGGTTTGTGTTGCTCGGCCCCGAAACAAAAACACTCAAGTGTACATCTCTATCAAAGCTCTAGCTTTGTATCAACAATTCAGAGCATTCTGCAGTATGGAGGCACAGTGTGGTTTGGGGGTCTATCAGCTCATTTGAAGGCCAGGATTCTACGGCTCCTGGGAATCTGTTCCAAATTGGTGGGACACTCAGTGGAGATCGCGTTCACTGAAAGCCATACACTGCATATTGTTAGACTGGCTGAGAAAATCTCCCAGGATCCTTCCCATGTGTTGCAGCAAGAGTATCAACTCCTGCCCTCCGGGAGGCGCTATAGGGTCCCAGAGTGCAGAAAGAACAAATATAAGAACTCATTTGTTCCTCTGTCAATATCTCTGTTGAACCAACACAGGATAGTAAAGAAGTGACAGTTCCCCCCACTTTCACTTTCATTTAATTACGGGTATCGAAGAACACTCTTGCAGGGCGGAGCCCCCATTATATTAATTAAGTATCTATTTATGTTTTTTTTATGTATTAACGACTTTATGGTTTTAGCTTTTTTAGCGTGTTGTAATTGTTGGAGCTTGTATTGCAAGATAAATTTGCGTGTACACGGACAATAAAGTGCTAGTAAAGTAGTTAATAATAATTTATTGCATTCTACCTTACACTGATTTTTCTCAGAATGTCCTCTAGATGTCAGGCATGCATTTAACTTTTGCTAAGTAATAAAAACAGAAACCTGCTCATATGTAATACTAAGGTAAGAATGCTTTACATAAAACCATGCATATTTTATAGTGTCTACAAAACAACAAAAAATGAACAGTTTGTACAAGTCGTAGGCCTGCACAAACTGTTTGCAAGTTCTATTTTTTTTTCTTCAAGACTGGTTATAACTTTTTAAAGTCAGATACATAAAAAGGTAGATTGGTCTATCCAAATCCAAAAAGTAAGACTGATTACCCCTTGGTTGACTGATTGGTCAGTCTAGTTCTTTAAACACAGTTGTCACAGAGTGGTTATGTTTATGTAACTGGCCCTAGGAAACTAGTGTTCCCTTTCAAGGGAGCTCACGCTGCATCGATTGATACTGCGGGACCGCTCTGCGTGATTGCATCGTGAAGCACTAGTGAAATCAGTCCAATGGTGTGACGAGACGTCAGAGGTGGGTGACCAGGAAACTATAAAGCCTGCCCAAACAGTGTAAAGCTAGCTTCTGTGCCTTCAGCAAGCGCTCTCTGTGAATCGAGTGTCTTATTTGGCCTTTTCTGTTTCATATACAATGCTGGTCAGAATTATTTGCCCCCTTGGTAAATATGATCAAAGATGGCTATAAAAAATAAATCTGCATTGTTAATCCTTTTGATATTTTATTTTAAAAATAAGCAAAAATCCAACCTTTCATTGAAGTAAAATAATTGAAAGTAGGGAATCACATTATGGAATAAATATTTTTCTCGAAAACATGTTGGGAACAATTATTTGCCCCCTTTTATTAAATACTTTTTTCAACCTCCTTTTTCCAAGATAACAGCTCTGAGTCTTCTCCTATAATGCCTGATGAGTTTGGAGAATACCTGACAAGAGATCAGAGACCATTCCTCCATACAGAATCTCTCCAGATCCTTCAGATTCCCAGATCCATGTTGGTGCTTCTTTTCTTCAGTTCAGCCCACTCATTTTCTATAGGGTTCAGAGGTCTGGGGACTGGGATGGCCATTGCAGATGCTTGGTTTTGTGCTCAGTAACCAATTTTAGTTTTTGGATCACTGTCCTGTTGGAAGTTCCAAACATGGCCCATTATAAGATTTTTGAGGTAAGGTAAGATTTTTGTAATAAGGTTTGGATTTTTTATCTGTTGGTATTTGCTAGAATCTATAATACCATGTATCTTAACAAGATGTCCAGGACCTCTGTCAGAAAATGGGACAGGCCCACAGCATTAAAGTTACAGCAGAGTATTTCATTTTACACATGGGGTACTTTTTTATCCCCGTGTGCACCAAACCCATCTTAAGGGTTTGCTGCCAAAAAAAGCTAATTCTTTTGTTTCATCTGACCATAGAACCTGTCCCGTTTGAAGTTCCAGTAGTGTCAGTTACTTTTCAAACGTTCTATTGGCAGATGAAAAAAAGAGCTTTATGGCAGCAAACACTTACTATGGCATGGGATTTGGCCGTGGTGCTCCAAGGCCTATCTTTTGGCTCCCTTTGAGCCTATTGAGGAGGTTCCAGTCATGTTTCTGACTCTCAAGACGATGTTTCTCCTAGCTATTACTTCTCTTAAAAGCAAAAAAGTCACAGTCTCATGAAAAATAAATACTTTCCTTCAAATTGTGACAAAATTACACAGAAAGGAAGTAAAGAGTGCTCCTAAAGCTGTCAGTCAGTTCAGTGTGATACTATAGAAGAACAATGGTACATTTAATAAGAGAAGAATAGGTTTTTTTATGTTACTTTTGTTAATAAAAGTTAAATTTATCTGCATCTCAATTCAAGCTCAGTGCTTTACTGTCAAATTTCCAATAAACAAATTTGATATTATTAGTAACTGCACGTATTAATGCAACCCCCCCCCCCCCCCCCCCCCCCCCCATCAATTGTGCCCTTGTATAACTGGCTTGTCGTGCCCTTGTAGTCACGTTACCACCAAACTAAAGGCCATTAGAATCTGTTATCGGTTGACTCCAGTCAGAAAAGTGGCCACGGACACTTGCTGTTCTTTGAACTCTGCGAGTCTATTTGGGGAGGATCTCCAGACACACTCTCATTGTCTGAGGGCATAGAAACCAGTGGCGTAGGACCGGAGGTCCCTGTCTCGAAACAGACAGGCGCAGAGTTGTCCATTTCCAGTGGAGAAAGAGTCGAAAAGGTTTCTGTGTCTGCAGATTTGGGAAATCGACGCCAGAGACTCAATGCTACCATGACTAATCACAGAAAAGAGAAGCTAAAGAGGAAACTATCCTCTGATGCTATTGCACAGGAGGACCTGAAGATTAAAAGAGGGCTTCTGCAACAACTTGAAACATCTGACATTGAGTTTGTTCAGACAATGGGCTGGTGGTCATCCACGATGGACCGTCTGAACTCAAACATTAAAATGCTGGTGCAGCATATTATGGGTTCAGGGAACCGTGGTTACATGCCTCCACCGTCACCACACACCCTTCACCAAAACCAGTATTCCTAAGCACACACACCCACAAGAAGACCACTTGGGGAGAACAATCCACCTGCACATAGTCAGCACAGCACCTCACCTTCACTTTAGAGTACATGCATTTGTAGCCTAAAGTACAAAAGAACATTTGTAATGTTGGTTTCCTTTGTGTTGTGGTACTTATATTTATATATACTTATATCAGCACATTAAAATAGCTCCACATCTGATCTGTTTGTGTAGTCAAACTTAATGTGTATTTATACATGCTTCTATGCATTTTGTGTTTGTATTTATGCTAATTTAATTAAAACATAATTTACAACTTTTGTGTGGTGGTACTTATTGTATTGTGGGCGGAGGCTTGTGCCACCTAAGATGTAGAATATGTTATGTAAATGCTCCAACTACAGGGTTTTAAAACAAATGGAAAGAACAAGCAGAGATGTGTACAAACAATCTTTATTTGACACTCAAAAAGGTTTAAAAGTATAATTATACAAAAACAATGTAGGGAAATATGCACAAATTACAAAAACAATAAAAGGATCCTGATACCATACAGTGGTCACCTGTAAAATCGTATCCTGACCGGTCAATATCCCATGGGATAAATCAGCATTTGGGAAGAGAAAAAAAGGTGGAAAAAGAAAATCCAAATAAATTAAATTCAAACACCCTCAATTCACACCTTCATACAAATTTGTTTATTAAAGTTGTAGTTTCATAACCTTGTTTAGAAAAGAAAATCCATGATGAGATCAGATGGTGACGTCGTGATTGTCATGGATGGCACCACCCGCTCTTTTAAAGTAACACCCCTTCATCCACAGCCTTCATCATAAATGAGTTAGCTGAGTGGGTGAAGAAGGGTAAGAGATGTGGAGCACACTGTATGTTTCTTTATACCTGTCATTTAACTATATCTCTGTAGCATCAATCGTCAGATCAGGTACCTGTCAGCTCCAGGGACGCTTCAAATTGAATGGAATGTACCAGGATGGAGATGTTATACTTGGAGGCCTGTTTCAGGTTCATTTTTTCACAGTGTTCCCAGATCTGAATTTCAAAACGGAACCAGAACCACCACACTGTGAAAAGTGAGTCTGGAGCCAGACTGATGCATAACTATAAAAGAGGAGAGAGACATATTTTTAAAATAAATAAATTATAAGAACAAATATGAATGTTTCTCTTGCCCTCTATCATCACATTTAATTCGACAGCAGTAATGCTGCCTTGACAAAAAAACAAAAAAAAACTCAGGTGTATTTGAAATGTATTAATGGTTCTATTAATTTGTATTATTATTATCTTTTAGTATCACTAAATGTCAACATTTAGCATTTGTTTTTCCAAGATTTGATATGGAAAGCTTCCAGCAGGCACAGACCATGGCTTTTGCAATAAATGAGATCAATAAGAATCCAAACCTGCTGCCTAACATCACTCTTGGTTACCATCTTTATGACAACTGTGTGAGACTAGGAATGGCGTTCCGGGCTGCCATATCCCTGGCTAGTGGGACAGAGGAGTCCTTCTCCAGCGTAAACTGCACTGGCCCCCCTCCTGTGATTGGGATTGTGGGGGATCCAAGTTCAACTCCTTCCATTGCGATTTCCAACGTTCTGGGACTGTTTCGAGTACCTATAGTAAGATGGAATGAAAAAAAGTAAAAATACACTGTATGCATATGTTTGCACTATTAAGTTAAATTAAAATTTGCACTATTAAGTTACATACGGCTTTTCAGGCGTATGTAAATATTATGTTTCTTCTCATCTCAGAACTTATCATCTGTTTGTGTATTTAAAAAAAGATAAAAGCACTAATCATGTTTTGTTGTTTGTCAAACTATTTTTCTGGCTCATGTCTTCTCTTCTCCCTCCACCTCCACTATTTAGGTTAGTCACTACGCCACCTGCTCTTGTTTGAGTGACAGGAAAAAGTACCCCTCTTTCTTCAGAACAATACCCAGTGATGCCTTCCAGGTGCGGGCTATGGTTCAGATCTTGAGGCATTTTGAATGGACCTGGGTTGGTCTTGTCTACAGTGATGACGACTATGGCATCTATGCTGTTCAGTCATTTCGGCAGGAAATGCAGGTGTTTGGACATTGTGTTGCTTTTTCTGAAATTCTGCCCCATGATAACAACCACAGAGACATTCAACGTATAACAGGGGTGATTCAGGCTTCTACAGCTAGAGTGGTGGTTGTTTTTTCCACTTCATCCTTTCTTTTGCCTTTGATGGATGAGGTTGTGTTGCAGAACATAACAGGAAGGCAGTGGATTGCAAGTGAAGCTTGGGCCACCACTCCTGTATACCACACTCCACGTTTCATGCCCTTCCTCAGGGGCACGTTGGGCATTGCCGTGAGGCGTGGAAAAATTCAGGGGCTTAATGACTTTCTGCTACGTCTTTGTCCCAGCAATGATCCAAGAAATAATATGTTGAGGATCTTCTGGGAGAACATGTTTGGCTGCAGTTTTGAAACAGGGGATAAAGATGGAGAGCAAGTGAAAAAGGTGTGTACAGGACAGGAGGATCTGAACACCACGGACACACCATACACTGATGTTTCAGGTTTGAGGGCAGCGTATAATGTATATAAGGCAGTTTATGCCCTGGCACATGCGCTTCATGACCTGATGCAGTGTGATGAGGGGAGAGGACCATTCAGTGGGAACAGCTGTGCCAACATAATCAACCTGAAACCCTGGCAGGTAAGACCCACGGGTATAGTGCAGATTCCCACCAGGCATATAGACCAGCTAAATGTGGAAAAGCAAAATATGTGCTCTACATTAATTCAAATTTCAGATAAACACATAACACCTGTCCTGTCTACAAACTGTACAGCTGGTTCACTATCTACAGAAAGTGAACTTCACCACAGGCTTTGGGGATCATGTGTCATTTGATAAGAATGGAGATGCTCTGGCTATCTATGATGTGTTAAACTGGCAGCCGACCTCTGATGGGTCAATAAGTATCTATACGGTCGGTGTAGTAAATGAAGGGGCGGCAACAGGGATGGTGTTCACACTGGATGAACAAGCAATTTACTGGAACTTTGAGACAAAAAAGGTAACTAACATTGCATGTTAATGTCATAATTTTTGCATATATATAGTCCAAATGATAGTCAATGCTGTGATAAAACAAAGAAATGAATAGAAAGGCCACGCTTATCATTATGTAAACGAGATAAACATGAATGATGATGTCTGTTTTAGCCCCCACGGTCTTTGTGCAGTGAGAGCTGCCCACCAGGAACCAGACGAGTCACAAGGAAGGGCCTTCCTGTCTGCTGTTTTGACTGCCTGCCATGCGGAGATGGAGAAATTTCTAATACATCAAGTGTTTAATCTATTGAGTAGTTTACTGTTGGCAAACAGTAATTGACTATAATTTGAAAATATCCCAGTTTCCTCCTAAATTCTTGCCTTCTCTCTTTTTCTTAATCACAGATGCTATTGAGTGCACAATGTGTCCAGATGAGTTCTGGTCCAATACAGATAAAGATCAGTGTGTCCCTAAAGATGTAGAGTTTCTGTCCTATAAAGAACCTCTGGGCATCTCTCTGACCACTGCATCTCTGCTTGGCACCTGCTTCTGCGCTCTTGTGATGGTCATCTTTGCTCTTCACCATAACACTCCCATAGTACGCGCCAACAATTCAGAGCTCAGCTTCCTGCTGCTGTTGTCACTTAAACTGTGTTTCCTATGTGTGCTACTGTTCATTGGTCAGCCGAAGCTGTGGACATGTCAGTTAAGACATGCTGTGTTTGGCATAAGCTTTGTCCTGTGTATCTCCAGCATCCTGGTCAAGACTATGGTGGTAATAGCTGTGTTCAAGTCATCTCGGCCAGAGGGCAAAGGAGCAATGAAATGGTTTGGAGCAGTTCAACAAAGATGCACAGTTCTAGTCCTAACAGCCCTCCAGGTTGTGATATGTGCAGTCTGGCTTTCAACTGCCTCTCCAACACCCCATAAAAACAACCAGTACATCCGCTCTAAAATAGTATATGAATGTGCTATTGGCTCAGTGGCTGGTTTTTCTCTACTGCTGGGATACATTGGACTATTGGCTGCAGTAAGTTTCCTGTTAGCCTTCCTGGCGAGAAATCTTCCAGATCATTTTAATGAAGCAAAGTTCATCACTTTCAGCATGCTGATATTCTGTGCTGTATGGATTGCATTTGTTCCAGCATATGTGAGCTCACCTGGGAAATATGCAGTGGCTGTTGAGATATTTGCCATTTTAGCTTCCAGTTTTGGATTACTGGTGGCCATATTTGCCCCAAAGTGCTACATTATCCTTTTCCATCCAGAGAGAAACACTAGACATGCCATAATGGGAAGAGAAACACAAATGAAATAGTGTCTGCATATCTCTGGTGTATGCATTTTTGACCAATCAATACCCTGCTTGTAGACATATGTTATAAATCTTCCTAATGCATGTAATTGAAAGACTTATAGTACATGCAGATGACTCATATACAATGCCTGTTTTGCATATTTTATTGAAACATGATATAATCACAAAAGTTGTTGATTTACACAACAGAAAAAAAGTAATGTAACAATTACAGGGGGAAAAATATGCATTTATGCTTTTTCTAGTTTTTAATTGCCTGGGTATTACTGATGAAGGCCTATTGTGTGTTCCATATTTTTAGTCAGCCCTATTAACACTAAAACGTATATATGTATCGGATATGAATATGGAAAAGATATGGATCTTTCGAAAACAGCACAGAAGATCATCATCTCTCTGATGACATATGCAGGACTTCTGGCCATTTCTGCCCAAACAATGCCCACTTCTTCCAATTCACTACATGCTCACATTCGGGCCATCCAATTAACAACGGATGGATAAAACCAAGTCCCCATCTCAGAGTATTTGTTTCTTGTCTTTTTTTTTTCACTTCTATGAAATCTATTCAAATAACAAACAGGCATTATTACTGTTAAATACAGCTTCAATAAATCCAAGCAGCACATTGAAAATAAATATATTAGAAAATAAATACAAAAATATATAAGCAAATTATATCAAATTAAATAAAACTTTAAGTTAAGGGGTTTAATTAATATCTTTTTCAATTGCTTTAAGGATTGAACTTACATTTTTAAATGCCACAAAACTTGGAGAAACCTTAAACGTTGGCTGCGCTGTTTCTTACCTTGCTCTACGTTGACTTTACTGACGTTAGTTCCAGCTTCACCGTCACCACCTTTTTAAAAATATTTGTTCAGGACATCTCGAAGGCCTCTATTTTCTTCTTCTCTTTTCTTTTCTGAGCACCGGACTTGTGCTGAGTGCTGACCGGACATTTTGAGCGTAACGTTAGCCTACTGAACTTCAAATCAAATGACAACATCATATTTCGATCAGTGGCCAAACCATTTTTGTTTTTTTTTGGGGGGGGGGGGGGGAGGGGAATAAAAAGCTTTTAGTATGTAACTCAAATTTTAGATATTTTTTCAACAAATATGCCTATTTTTTTATTATTTTTTTTACAATTATTCCATAATTTAACGAGAAAGGGTGTTTAGCATGGTACGAACGATTGTTACAGAGAATAGGGTGACATTAGACAACAGAACTGTTTGCTCTACTCTCATGTACTCTACTTTGGCCCAGCCCACAAATACACTACTTTCAAAACAGTTAATAAAAAGTCTGCAACAAATTTGTTCAATAACTCACTAAAAGAGTAAAGAAAAGTTATGTGAAATGAAAAGAAAAACTGCAAATGAAAAGAAAAACTGTATAAGAAAAGCAATATGAAATGAAAATGTGTGGAATGAAAATAAAATGTAAAGACAAGCAATGTTAAATGAACAGAAAATATGCAAATAAGCCTTTAAATAAATGCTCTTAATATATACCCTATATATACCATACATATATATATATATATGTGTGTGTGTGTGTGTGTGTGTGTGTGTTTTTATTTAGGGCATAACACCTGTCTTAAAATGTAAGGGATACTGGAGCTTGGTTGGGGTGGTGGGACTGCTCGCGATGGGCGCTGGAAAATTTCCCTTATTTTCAAATCCAAAACTTGACAGGTATGCTCCTGAATAAAGGATCGGTACCAACTATTCGTGTTCCTGCTGAACCTCCAGAAGAACTGAAGTGAGTGTAACGTTTTATTAACCTTTATATGATTATTTATATTAATCTTTGCAAATTGCTTGCACGCTTCACGATGAGGTTTACACTCAGGGTACATTACGGCATGTTTTCTATGTACGACGTTCTCAATATAATTCATAATCCCACGTTTATGATGAACAACGTGTTATGGTTATTGTTTTATTGTGTTACAAACGGTGTACGCACAGAACAGAGGGGCGGGGTCGGTGAGCGAAGCTCATTATCATTTAAAGGCATATGCACTAAACGGCGTACTGAAAACAGAGCTGTTTTTGACCAGGTAAAATACGTGTTTTGTTACAATACTAATGAGAATTTTTAATTAAAGTATATTACAAACTTTTAATTTAGACCCTAAAGAATCATATTAGCTTGTACAAAAATGGCATTATATGACCCCTTTAAAGTTTGTATCAGCGATTTCAGGCCCAAACATAAATGATCACATTCATCTAATCTTAACAATCCGCTAGCTGCCCGCCCCATAAGCAGGCTGTCAAAAAAACGCGTCTCTGTAGGCAGCCTAGGCTCTGAGATCTGCACACAAAAACAAATGGGTACAACCACCACTCAAAACCAAAATAAACAGTGTTCCAACCAATCACCGACAGGGGCGGGTTTTGTTTGTTTTTGTGCTCGTGCACGGCGCCTGCACGCGAAGTCAGAGCTGAAGAAGAAGCCAGCGCGTCTATCAACAGACCAGATACAGTGAACATGGAAGGGGCATCCTTTTATGGATGTTGCTGTTTTGAGTCGTTTTAGACTATATACTTCTTGTTTCTTTGTATTTTTATTCTTAAAGAAGTGTTGCAGTGTAGTAAAAACAGGGAGATGATCACTTATATCGTTTATAAGGAGGCCACTTTCTATTCTGCCGTCAACTGCATTTGTAAAGATATTGTCAATTAATGTAGAACTATTGGCTGTGATTCTTGATGGTTTTATGATAGTGGGAAAAAGACCTAAACTAAACATAGTGTCTATAAAGTCTCTGTGTTTTTGTAATTTATGCACATTCAATAGGTCAATGTTAAAGTCTCCACAAACAAAAGTTACCTTTGTCATGTCAAACATTTCCACAATTCTGCTGTTAAATGTATCAATACATGATCCTGGTGCCCTATATATACAACTTACCAGGATCTTTTGTGATTTTTTTTAACCATTATTTCCACATTAACACATTCCATAATATTGTCTATTTTAGTTGTCATATTATTAACTAGTTTACAGTTAAAACCACTACACACATAAAGCTACACCACCTCCTTTTTTGTTAGTTCTGTTCACATTAAATAAGTCATACCCATCGAGTTTGGTGTCATATTCTCTGTTCACATTTAGCCAAGTCTCTGATATGGCAATAATATGAAAGTTAGGAAATTGTCTTAAGTAGTCCTTAATTTCTTCAAAGTTAGTATACAGGCTTCGACTGTTGAAGTGTATTTTTGATAAAGCGTTGTTCAATCTTACACTGGATTTAAATTGTTCATTCGTATAATACTCACAGTGGCAATTGTTTGTATAGAAGTGGTTCTCTGGATCTATTTCATTCTCCATATCATAATTTTTGTGATCAGTTGCTGACGCTATGGGGTTGTTAATACCCATCACACCATATTGACCAATGCCTGCTCGTGTGCTGTGAAGGTCAGGCTTAATCACAGAAGACCTCGATGAGCCTCAGCCCAGAGTAAATGTGTTAGCAACCAAATAGGATGCATCCTGTGACACCACAACTTTGCTAGTGTTATAGGCACTAGAAAAAGAGCCCCGAAGCTTCCATGCTCAACCATTCCTGACACAGATACTCTTGTACCAGTCTGAGCCAGAGCTACAGGACAGCCCAGAGCCCCAAAGAGCATAGCTATCAGGGGAGACTACAGACATACCCTCGGCTTAGGTTCATAGCACTACATCCAGTTGTTGAACCAGGCCACAGTTAACTGAGTCGCGTGCAGCAACTCTACTAGGGCTGCAACTAACGATTATTTTGATTAATCGAATGAAAAATCTATTATTATACATTAAAAAAAAAAATTTTTTAAATAAAAAAATCATTTTAATCCATTATTTTAAACAATGGTATTTACTATCCTGCCCAATGCTGTCCTCCAAACAATGTGTAATATAAATAGCGAATGTATCTATGTCGGCTATGCTGTACATTATAAGCAAAAAAGGGTTCAAATACAAAAATGACATTCTAAACATAAAAACAAATGTGTAACGGGTGTGTAGCGGGCAGAAGAAGACTCAAAGTCAAAAGGCTCCATATCAGACAGTTTTACTAATATAAATCACAGGTACAAACAGGCAGACAGGATGACACACATGTTGAATACAACTAACAACCGACAAGTACAGACTGAACAGGAAGGAACTAAATACAGACACTAATGAACAGAAACCAGGTGACACAAATGAAAGTGATTAACTAGGCACAGGTGACAACGATGATGACAGACAGGTGTGAAAACATGAGGGATGCTGGGAAGTGTAGTGAAGAGGCAGAGACAAGACAGACTGTGACATTACACCCCCCTTCCGGTAGGCGCGTCCTCACGCCATAGAAGGACCAACAGCTGAGGGAGAGAGGGACCAGGGCGGATCAGGCAGTGCAGGCGACCAGGGCGGATACGACGGAGGTAGGGCAGAAGACTCCAGGGGGCCGACTGACAGGGGCGGAGCAGGTTGGAGAGGAGACCAGGGTGGAGCCGTAGAGCAGACGAGACTGGGTGATGCTGAGGGACTGGAGGGACATGGTAACACCGAAGGCTCAGGCGACCGAAGTGTAGACAGGGACACAGAAGGACACGGTAGAGACAGAGGGGGGACGAAGGGACGAGGCGTAGCCAGAGGAGAGGAGTCCAGAGGTGAGGGAAGGCCGACGAGGGACAAAAGTGAATCCGGGGGGACGAGGGAGCCTGGCGGAACTGGGGGACTGAGGGGCCATGGTGGAGCTGAGGGAGGTAAGAGCCAAGGTGGAACAGATGGGATGAAGGGCCGAGGTAGAGTCCTGGTTGAGGAGGTTGGAGGCGGAGACCGGGGATCCACCGACCCTGAAGGCGTTGGTGGCAGGCAGATCCTCGGCGACTCCACCTCCTCAAGGGTAGATACAGGGGCAGAGGTGCTGCCAGGCAGTGGTGGAGGAAAGGTAGAGAGGCAGATGGGAGGAGGTGGAAGAGGGAGGCTGGGTGGGAATTCAAGCTCTGGGCTGGACGGAATCAGCGGTGAATAAGTCTCTGGACTGGACGGAACCAGCGGTGAATAAGGCTCGGCAGGGCTGGACAGGACCAGCGGTGAAGGCTCGGCAGGGCTGGACGGGACCAGCGGTGAAGGCTCGGCAGGGCTGGACGGGACCAGCGGTGAAGGCTCTGCAATCTTGGTTGGCGACCGGGGCTCGGGC